AACTATTTGTTAAAGAAAGCTATTCTGTCTTTTATGTTTGGAGAAGCATATAGGTTTGTAATTAAGAAAGATCAATCTTTATATATAAAGCTTGTAAGAATTACTCTTCTTTCGTGTAGAATTTTAGTATTCTGAAAATTTATTTCTTTTCTTTTTGCCAATATAGCAATCTTATTTGTCTAAATTGATTTGGTTTGTATTGCTTGGTTGTTTAGATTTGTTTTTTGTAATAGTATTAGGTATAAATTATAAGATTTTAAAAGTATTATTGTTTTGTCTTTTGTTCTGATTATTAAGTCCCTTTACATTTAGGGTAGCAATTTTAATTATTGCTTTAGTCATTAGATATTATAAAGATAAGTGTGCTTTTATTAAACTTTTGGAGAATTTTCCTCTATTCATTCTTTTTTGTATGGAGCTTGTCTTACTGTTGCTTGTTTATATATATTTTGATTTGTTTGTTTTTTTTTTCTTGTAAGATACAGTTGTAAAGTCTTCTTCTATTAGAATTGCTGGCAATGTATTTTCTTGAGAAGGGTTATTCACTTTGTTATTATTTTTAAAAGATAAGTCATCTAATACAAGCTCATCTCTTGTTATAAGTTCTGCTTCTAAGAAAGTGATTGCTTGTTTGGCTTCTTTCTGAGTATTTTTTATTTCATCATCTGTACTATGAGAAATAACTTTATCTCTTGCTCATCTGGTATTTCTATACTTATTGCTTCTTTTTTAATTCCTCTTTCTCTTTAGTTTTTGAGAGACTTTTTACTTCTTGAATTGTTTTGCTAAGGTAGTCTCTGTTTTTTGTCTTGGAAGTTTCTTTGAACTCTCGATAATACTGTCTTAGCACAACTGACTCTTTGAATTGAGAGTAATTTTTTTTTTATATGCCTTTCCTGGTTACAGAAGTAGCAAACTTTAGGAGCTGCCTTCTATTTAGTTGTGATTTTGTTGTCTCTGAGATAGGTAAAGCAAGAGATTTGCTTTTCTAAATCTCTATTTTCTGTTGTATCAAAAATAACAATCTATTGATCAGTTAAATATACTATTTCCTTAATTACCAGTAGTTTGATTGAGGCTATTTTGCCAAAATCTTGAAATGCATCTTTGATTAGCATTATTATTTCTTCTTTTTCTCCCAATAGAATATTTCTAAGCTTTACTAGAAAGAAAGATTTGTGTGAGTCTGTTGAAATATAACCAAAGTATGATTTGTTAAAGATATTGATACTCTTGGCTACATAATGACTAAGAGAATTTTTGTTAGAGAAGATAATTTCTAAATATGTGCAGTTATCCTTTTTGAAGTGTTGCTTTGCTGTTATAATATCTTGTTTGACACTTTTATAAAGTGAAATCATTATTTTATTAAAGGAGCTTTAAATATCTTGTATTTTAATAATTAATGTATTCTCATTTTTGGTTCTTATTTGTTCTCTAGAAAAGAAGGCTATATAAGTTAATTGGCCTTTTTTTAATTTTGCAAATAGGCTTGACTACTTTTTGTTAGTTGTATTTCTTGATTAACTAATATCTGCTTTAGCTTTTCCTTTTGAAGTTGAGCTTCTAATGTATGAGTTATTTTCTGAGAATTCTGTAGCCTCTGGTGTGTTTTGTTCTATTAGTTGTTTTTGGTTTATAATCATATGATCTTGCACATATTCTGTAATATAACTTGTCTTGTTGTTTTGTTGTTGTTCTTTATTTTTACGTGTTAACGTGTTTGTAGAGATCAAGCTTTAGTTCTCTTTTTTAGAGATACTAGTTTCTTCTAGCTAGTATTTTTTGTAGTTGTTTTGATTGCTTGTATTGAGGTGGCTATATTTGCAGTAGTTTCTTCTCCTTGTTGTTGTTTTGACATGCTGTTTATTTTTTTATTTTTTATTTTTTTTGGTGTTAAGGTGGCCTCTTGGCCGGCTCCTTTTATTCGGTTATAGTTAAC